ATGAGTTTGGCTTTTACCAGCTGTGGAATTCAGAGAAGGTGGGTAGAAGTAGGGCAAAGGTGTCTTTTCTATAATTAATCTTTTCTACAGTAAAAACTAATTCTGTCTAAATTTAGTGGGTCAGACTCATGAATAAAATCAAAAATTATGCAAAATCTGACTACTCTAGATGTCTAACAGAAGAAGGAAAGTTTTCTCATTTTTTTATTTTGGGTCAACAATGTTAGTTGACTTAATTCTAGCTCTGATCTGAGAACATTGGAAAAGAGACTTTTGTGGCTTTTCTTGCATTTGTTTGCAGGGTATGGAGGGAAGGAAGCTGCCCAACAGACTACTTGAGCTTCTTGCTCCTCATTCTTCATTAATACCTCAGTGATGAACAATCCAGGTTTGTTCTTTATCATGTTTAAACTGAAGCCAAATCCATTAGGTCCTTTCACCATCTTGCAGATCCTTGGCTTGTGGTTCACTTGCTGCTCAGTGTGCAATTCCACTCTTTCCTCCATTTTAGCTGGGGTTGAATCATGTGCTTTGTAGTAGTATGAGAAAGGGGAAATTTGAGCCTGAAAAAAGTGAAAAAATTACATTAAAACAAAAATTTCTGTTGTGAAATCTGTTTCAGGATCTCATGCTCAACATATTTTGTTTGAAACTTTGTTAACAACTCAGACTTTAGCTGCAGTGGAGAATTCTTCTCTATTCTGAGTGGAAATCTACAGTGTTGATCTATGTGAGAAGGGAACAATCATTTATGATTGTTATTCATAAATGGTTACACAGTCATATAGCTCTGAATTTGCTGTCTTAACAGCAGATCTTAACCTTTCTTGTGATGTATTTGAATTGTGATATATTTGTGATGTATTAGAATTGTTCCAATAGTGTCTATAACAATCAGGAAGAGTCCAAAGATTTGGGTGTTCAGTGACTGTCTGTACCAGTGTAAGTGGAGGTGCTGGAATACAGGTGTCTCTTAGACGTTTCCTGCGAGTTGAAAGTGTCAGAGCATTTCATTGTTTCATTGTGATAAATTATCAATTCCTAGCAGTAGTTTGCATTTTCTTACCAGCTTGTACATGCTGTCGGTTTCCTTATCCACCACCAACAGGGAGGTTCTTTCCTCAGACTGCTTAATTTTTCCCACTACGCTTTCATGATCCAGCCCATCCACTCGCTCGCCATTGACAGCCACTAAGATGTCATTGTCCTTTAGACCTGCCACAGCTGCTGGGCTTCCAGAATTAACATCTTTGATTACATGATCTGAGATAAGAAGGGGAGAAAGATTGCTGTGAAAGCAGAGCTTGGTGAGTTTTAAAAACATTAAAAAGTGTGGCACATGTAAATGGTCAGAATTGCTCTTCAGGTTGAGGCTGTTTTCCTTGAAGATTTCTCCTAGATGGCCAGTAAGAAACCAAGGAGAATGAGGGCTGCAAACATCATATAGGAATAAATGGTACAGCAAATGTAAAGGTCTGTGTGTTAACTTGGATCTTACCACCAGTATTTTGTTCCATCCGTAGATAAAATCCATACCCGTTTTTTCCTTTCTGGATCTCAATAAGTCGTGGTTTGAGGGGAAGTAACCTTAGGCTGGCTCTCTCTTTGCTCAGTGCCATCTTCTGGCTTGTGAAATAGCGGTCTGTTTCTTCATTTGAAAGTAGAAACATAACATGATTTTCAGACTTCTTTACCTGTGACAGCACATGTACAGTCTCAGATGTCACCCCTTCAACAGCACATGGGAATTGGGGATATTTGGTAACTGGTGCACTGATACATAGCGGACTCTGGGTGCTGTTAGTCCACGCCATGCTACTATAAATTGATTTTTCTTTTCTTGTCCGATACCTGGACCATGACAAAATCAAGGGCGTGTAATGAATGAGAAAATTTTCCATATTTCATACTGTGTTCCTGACCTGTAGGGAATTACCTGTGGAGGGCCATGGGGGTGGCATACAGTGCTGTAGAATCCAGGGAGCCTGAGTAGATGGTGTTTGGCTATTCTAGATGTGAAACTCTGCTATATAGACTTATCTATACCACTGTTTTAGATTACAGGGACGGGAGTTTCAAGTTTCTGTCACTCATGATCCTCTTCTGTCTCCCTGTATTACTGATTCTGAGGTGAGGGGTTTTTTTCCCCTGTCTGTTCAACCTCTCCAAGTCTTTCTCTTAGTTCTTTCTATTCTGATGGATGCTCTTTTTACTCATCTTAACCAGTGCCACTCTGGTGGTGGTGTAGCAGTAGCTCAAAGCAATACGTGTTGCACGATTCCATAGTTAGCCGTGTGCACTGAATGCTGCTGGAATGCTGGAGTCTCATGGCTCTCTGAAATCTCTTCAGCTCCAGGTGCGTTTTAGCAGTGCCAACAGCAGAAAGCTGGAAGCCTCATTAGCAATGTTCTTTGCAGCCAATTAGTGAAATTACTTGCACAGTAAATTTCATGAGTTTCGGACTTCTTCACAGGAGAAAGGGGACTACTGTCTAAAATCATGAAATCTTCCCTGCTCTATGCTGACTGTCATCAGAGGCCTGCCCTGGAAACCACGTTTGATGACTTGCCCTCCTGCCATTAGCAGCATTTCCAGGACTTCTAGGAAATGAATTGATTTAATAGGGTTCCTGGCAGCAGTATACTTGTGTTATTTAAAGTTCTTTGGCCTGTCTTGATGTCCATATTCATTGAGAGGCAGTTCAAGAGGCTGCTTGATAACCCAGCCAGCGCAGAGGGCTACACTGATGTGCTGGTGGTGCATGAACAGCAGCTCCCAAGATTTACTGTGAAGTGCTTACATCAGCCAGCCTGGCCTCCTCAGTAACCCTGATATGTTGCTGTAAAAGTAGGCCAGAACAGAAGATAAATCGATACCTTCTCCACCACTTCCTCGTGGGTGTCATTTTCCACATTTTTTCCATTGATTTCAATCAGGCGATCGTTATTTTGGACACCAGCCTTTGCAGCTGCTCCTTGTGATGAAAGCTCTACTATGAACAACCCCTTCTGTCCTAAAATAAATGAAAACTCATTACACAGGGCAAGTCACTGCAATAGGCCTGAATATAGTGGTTAAGGAAACTCAGCACTGATGTCCTCAGAGACTCATGGTCTCTGCTTGCACACATACAGGAGCACCACAAACCTTCTACACACACACTCCTCTGTCTCTTACTCTGGCCTGGAAAAATCCCTTCAGTGGTAGAGGGAGATATTCGTTCACTATCTGCAGCTCAAAAGGGTTTTTATTTCCCTACTAGGGGTGAAAAAGGGCTGATTAACATAGTTGAAAGGGATTTGAGTCCTGCTCCCTCCCATCATCCTCTTCACCCATTATTTTGAAGAGAGAAGCTGCTTTTACTGTTGTTTTATACGTTTCATAATTTCCTGTGTTTGGAAGCCTTCTATGTTTGGTCTCTCAATTATATTGCATTCCAAAATAGCCTTTAGAGGGCTCTTTAGAGGTGGTGCTTTCCAGAAGACCCCCCTCTTCCGTTGACTGGCCTTGGAAAAAAGGCATAAATGGGAAAGGTTCAAAATCCTTTCTTTCTAGATAAATTAACTTACAAATCAGGAAAAATATTTCTTACAGCTGTCTAGAACCTCATGTGCTGATTCCTGAGGTGATTTTGAGGAATGGAACAGGACTTAACATAGCACATTGAGTGTGTATCTAGTTTGGTTTTGTTAAGTGGGCTTAAATAACAAGCAGAAAATAGCTTATTATTTTTCTCTCTTTTTTTTTTTCCATCTGTTTTCTACCTCATGATAAGCATGGTCCTCAGGAAACCTTGTGTTGAATATGCTGTACAGAAGTGTTCTGGAGATAAATCTGAACTCATCGTGCTACTCCTCACTTTCTTTCTGTTAGCAAGAGCAGGTGTCTCCCCACTAGCCCCCACACAACTGTGGTTGCCTCTGTCCCTGCAGCCAAATATATACATATTTATATTTTATCTCCAGTTTCTTCTCTCTAGGTTCTCACCTTCTGTGCTTTTCAGGGAGAAGCCGTAACCTGTCTCCTCCTTCACCAGGTAGCAGAGCCGGGGCTGTGGAGCTGCAGTGACCATGGATGGTGGGCACTGCTGCTCCTGCTGTTGTCCTGTGGATGCCTTTTGACCCAGCTCTTCCAAGTTCACTCCCTCCTTTTGTGCCTTTTCATAGGATGCGTCATCCAGAACAAGGAGCACGACGGAATTCCCGCTGTTTCTGACCATCTCCACCACCTGGTATGAACAAGGGGAAATGGAAGCAGGCACTGGAGTGATGGAGCTAAAACTTGAACCAGGAAAAGCTTCACTGTCCACTGCTTTTGTTGTCTCACCCCCTGCTCATGCACTAGGGAGGCATCCCAAAGACATTCCATGCCCATGGTGGGTAATGAATGATGCAGGGGGATACTCAGAGCAGTTGACTCTGCTCCTGGCTTTCCTAGCCATAAAAACTGGAAGAAAAAGCTTCACACAGCAGCTGTGGACCTGGGGCATGGTGTGGATCCCAGCCTGAACAGATTTGTACCTGTGCATGTTCCTCCTTGTCCACGAAGACACCGTTGACCCTGAGCACTCTGTCTCCATCCTGCAGGCCAGCCCTCTCGGCCGGGCTGTTGCGTTCCACGTTCCGCACGATGTGCCCTGCGGTGTCCTGCTCGATCCGCAGGAAGAAGCCGTATTTCTTCTGGGGCTTCTTGCTCACCGTGCACTCTCGGGGCTGCAGAGCAGGAGTCATCTCTACCAGACAGGATGGAGAAAACACCTGTGAGTAAGAACAGGAAGCTTACCTAGGGTGTATTGCCCCTAATTGCATATCAAGAGGGTTTGCTTCAGAATTCTTGGGGTGTTTTTTAGTTTTTTGGTTTTTTTTGGTTGGTTTGGGTTTTTGGCCCCAAAAAAACCAGCTGTGCAAAGCTGAGTTTAGTTAACAAGGCTAGCGAGAAGAATCTCTGACCCTCCTTGCTTTTTTTCTCTCTGTATGTCACATGAGGTTAAGCAAAATGCAGAACTGAAATGAGGAAAGCCTGCCTGAAAATATAGTAAGGATTGTGGAAAGGGTGTAATACCAGGATTAAGTCTTACAAAGGAAATGAAGTTTTGGGAAAAGGGAATGGAGTGAAGGGATTGTTCCCCTCCCTTTGACACTTGGGGGGCCACATGTGAGTACTACCCCCAGTTTTGATCTCCCCAAGTAATTACCATATTTGAGCTAGTTCACAGAGGGAATTTTGGTTCTGAAACACTTATTTAAGGAGGCTGAGAGAGCTGGATTTGTTCAGTCTTAGGAAGAGAAATTAAAGGGAAGATCTTCTTGATATCTTCCCACTGCCTAACTGGATTGTGTGGAGAACACAGCCAGGCTCTTCTTGGAAAAAAACAGTGGGAGGATGAGAGGGAACAGACACAGGCTGCAGCACAGCAAGGGAAATTCCAACCAGAGATTCATAAGAACAGCTTTTCCTCTTGGAGCCAGTCAGGTATGACTAGAAGTGTCCAGAGAGGCTGTGAAATCTCTGTCCTTGGAGATACCTGGATTAGGCCCTGAGCAACCTGATCTAAGCCGGCCCTGTTTTCTATGGGACATTGCACCAGGCCACCTCTAAAAGTCCCTTCCTACCTAAAATGCTCTGGGATGTAAAGAAACTGTGGTTTGGGTGAAGTTTGTCATGCAGGAATACCACATATAGAAAGTAAATAACAAGTGGGACCAGAGAACATCTCCCAAAACATTGTCCTGCCAAAGATCCATGAAGATGGGGGAACGAGACAAATGAAGACAAATTCCTCCAGTGGTAAAAATCCAGATAATTAGCAACCATGGTTATTATTTTACTGGAAAGACTTTTTTTCCCCGTCTCTTTACTGACAGAAGTCAGTTCTTTAGATCTGCTGGCAGTCAAATCCTTCTGTGAGAGCAGCTTAGTGCAGAACCACTGCTGTAGCTACCCACGGCGCAGACTCTTTGCTGCACTGCTGATGTTACTGGGACAGCACATAGAATAGCATGGATATGTGGGGTAAGTTTGGCACAGATGTCACTGGAGCTGGAGAATACAGGAATTTCAGCTTGCAAGGATATGCAGCCTGCAGATCATGATTCACTTGTAGTCCATGGCCCAGTGCTTTGAGCATTTTTGAGTCTCTGTGTATTGCACTGACATTAACTAATATTGGGATGAGCTTCCCTGTTATTTGAACATGGTTTAGAACACATCAGACTGTATCGATTGCAAGGACCATTCAAAGCAGCTTTTCTTGACAAACACTGGGAATCTGTGATAATTCCAGATAATTCCAGATGCAAAACCAGTACTACACAGAGCTGGAGAAACAGTAGGCTTCTATGGCAAAAAATTATTTCTTTATTTAGAAGTGGAGAGAAGGTTACAATGCACTGCATACAACACCTTTTGATCCATGCAAAATCATTTGTCTTGCAAAAAGAACTTTTCAAAGGGAAAAGGGGTTAGGAAAAAAGGAATTTCTTACCTGTATCAGTGTAGAGCAGCCTTCACTGGAGTTCTCTTTTGCCGTTCCTCCTGAGCTGTACGTATAAGTAAGACTGGACTTTGATTGGGTAAAGGTTGATTTAAAAGATGATTTATTTAACTAAGTTTCACTGAATGTGTGATACCTTGATAGGCTATCTTGTCCTTGGGGGCAGAAGTGCTAATCACATGCATTTCTCATTAGCTTTGCATTTTGTCCTACTGATATTATACTCAAAAACTCACTCAAGGGGGTCATCTGAGGCAAGCCTGACCTTTGTCTGGGCTAGAGTCTTCTCCTGCTCTGAGAAATGTCTTAAAGTGAGCAGGTTTAGGTGGTGCTGGATTGACCTGGGCCAGCAGCATTTGCTTGCAGGTTAGGAAGTTACTGGTTAAAATCTGTATGCCCATTGTTGGATGGAAAAATAAAAGGCTGTGTCAGGTTAACCTTGACCAGCAGCCAGATGCCCACTGAGCCACTTTCCTCTACATGGGGGCATGGGGAGAAAACAGGATGGAAAAACTTGAAGAATTCAAGACAGGGACCATGCCTGGGAGAGATGCATTGAAAAAAATGGGTTTGTGATTGAGGGGTGGGCCCTGACTGTTGAGGCCTTAACACATGTGAAACATGCACTGCAATCAAGTGACCCGTAGGTACAATCTCCCTGGGGCAGGTGGAGGGAGGTGTCTGTGATATCAATATAGTGAGGCATGGCAAACTGGCTACACTCTAGGTGCACTGGGAGAGGCTGTGTGGGTTTCTCTGCCTTGGGAAAAGGCAAGTGCATTTGTGGGATTGTCTTTGCTCAGGAACCCAGGTGCACTTGGTGCAGGAGAAAGTGGGAATCTGCTGTCTACCTCAAGGAGATTTACCCCTGGCAGAAAAGAATCCATTACTTGAGTTGTGTGATATAGGAAGGAATACAGCAGGAATCATCTGAACCAACAGAGAATGAACCTCACCAGGAACCGTGTGAGTGCAGTGCTCACCCACCCCAAGTGGTCTTGTTGCTTAACAATCCAATGTGATGCTGTCCTGAGTGATCCCCTTGACAGATAGGGTCAAAGCAATTGACTGTTCTTATGGAAATTTGGGGGAGGGAGGGCGTGGAATGGGGGAATATTATCTGTATATATGTCAAGGGACAAGGTATAGTGGTTATAGAGGATGTGTAAACCTGGCTGTTGGATGTAACGATGGTTTAGGTACGTAGTATAAGTTGTAAGTGTTGGTGAGAAGCAATTTCATGAAGGATAAATAGATGGAATGAAAATGTTTGAGTAGGGCATAGAAATGAAGCAATGTATGTGGCACAGAGGATACTTTGATATCTCAGATCACACATGATATGAATGGTGTGGAATGAGGAGTTGGGACTGTACTGTTCTGGCTGGGGTGGAGTTAACTCTCCCCTGGCAGCCTTCATGCTGCTGTGCTTTGCATCTGTGGCTGAGACTGCGTTGATACCACACCACTTTTTTGGCTGCTCAGGAACACAGTTTTCTTCCTCTCATGGCTTTTCTTCCCTTCACTCCTCCTGGACTACAGGGAGGGGACACAGTGGTGATAGCTGACCTGAACTGTCCAAAGGGATATTCCATGTTCCACACCATTTGATGTTGTGCTCAGCATTAAAAGCTTGGTAAAAGGAGGAGGAAGGGCAGCTGTTTGTGGTTTTGGTGGTCTCCCCAAGCAGCTGTTGTGCATGTTGAGGTGTGGCTTCCCACAAAGGTAGCTAGAGATCTGCCTGCTGATGGGAACCAGGGAATGAATTCCCATTTTTCTTTACTTGCATGTGCAGCTTTCCTTTCATTTCCCTATCAAGCTATCCTTATCTCAATGCACAAGTCTAGCCTTTCTTTTATTTCGTCCCCATCCAGCAGGAGAGGAGTGAGAGGGAGTCAGGGTGGGTGTTTGGCTGTTGGTTGGGGTCAGCCTGTCAAAGGGCATATCTTATCCATGATCCATGAGCATGTGCAGGATATCCTCACGGACATGGATTGACCTGAGCGTTTTTTCTAGTGTTTAGAGGTGGAAGCCTCTAAATTTGAGATACCAAGGTAATTACTAAACTGACCGTGTGAACTTCTTGTTAAAAAATCTAATTCAATTTTAAAAACCTTTAAATCTACTTATTTCTTTCATTGACTTGCTGTGGAATTGGATTATTAGGAGTAATACCTGTGTTTTCCCCAGCTGTCTGCTCCGACTGTCGAATTCCAAGGGAAGGTAACAGAAGAGATCATAACCCAAATGTGCTGCAACATGACAGTCATTGGTGTTGTAAAAGCCTTACTGTAATCCACTTACCCTAAGTGGATTTGCAAGCTCTTGTGGCTTGGAGTTGCTCCTTTTGGTACAACTTCAAACCCATGAAGTGAAGTAAGTGAGCCCCAGTGTTGTAGGAACCAGACAAGTCAAACCTGCCTGTTCCTCTGCTTGCAACCTTTCACATGAGTCATACTGGATGCTGGAGACATCAGAGTGCCTCATCAGCCAAGATGGGAACTCTACAAGCATCTCAGGCCAGCACACAAGGAAACAGCACCTGATCCAAGTTTTATTTTTTAATTGTAGTGCCACTGCCATAGTCAAGTGAGGTAATTTTGGGTCCCAACAGGATTTTTTTCCAAGAAAAAGGTGCTACATGAATCTAAAATGTTAGTGAAGCTCAGAAATTAAAAAAATTTCCTATCCTTCCGTCAGTAGACTGAAAATTATTTGAGAATTAATCAGAGTAAAGCAGCTTGTAATGTCTCCTTTTCTTCTCAAGCATATTCATACAGCTACAAAAAAGAGGATCATAACTAAATAAAAAAAGAGAGAGAAGATGTCTTTTTAATACTGTGAAAAGTGGTAAAATCTGAAAAAAAACCCTCTTAATTTACAATATTCCTATATTGCAGGATTTGGCAACAGTGACTTAGTGGTGTGGTTCTATTAGCACAGGGACTAGACTTAGAGCATCTGCTTTCTCCAAATTATGTTTATTTCCAACTGTATCCTGGTTGTAGTGATACACAAACCTTTGTTTCTAGTGTCATGGTATTATCCCGTGGGATAACATTTACAAAATATTTTCTCTAATTCTTTTTTGCCAAAGCTTTCCTGATGTTTAGTTAGAAGAAATTCTGTGAAACTTGTCTGTATTAGCAAAAATGGTCAGAAATAAGCATTTTCTAGTAGTTGTAAGTGTTCACATTGTTTCCTCAGTGTGTTGGGTGAATGGAGGGAAGCACCTTTGTTCTTAATTTTGGTACTTGCTGGGATCTCTGACTTTAGCAAATTCACAGGTGAAGTATATCTTTAATATGAGTGTAAATTTACAAAGTTCAGTTGACTAAAAGGTGCCTTTTGTTATTAACACAATATTACATGGTGTCTAGCCCTAAAATTAAATTAATATACTTCATATGTTTGGTCCTGAAAATAAAGTTGTTCACAAATGCTGTGTAACACTGCCAGTATTGTTCTGTTGACAAAAGGTTTATGTGGCTATTTTGGTGTAAAAATGTTCCTTCTTTGTTATGGTGACTCACTTTCTTACCTGGGAGCATGTACCTCCCTTAAAAATTGATATGATGAGGGTTTCTAAATAGTGTTTGTTCACCTATTGCTTACTCTAGACTTGCTGACCACAGGCTCACTTCTCTCCTTGCAGTGCCCTCCTTCTCTGGGATTCATAACAAAGCAGTCAATGAAAATTCATGGTTAAATATTTGGAAGCATACTTTATTTGTTTCTGTATTTAAGCCTTTGAAAATCACTGCAGCCCTTTCCCTTTGCCCCTTCTTTTGCCAATTATGTTTTTTCCACTTTTGTTTGGCAATTGTTTTATAAAGCACCGTGTGACTTGGTAATAGAAATATTTGGTTCACTGAAGTCCTCTGTAATCATGAGGCAAAGTCCATTTGAGCTACCAAATGAATACTCATGAGTCATCCTGTAAAAAGACAAGTGTTAATTAATTCTCTCTCTTCTGGTGACCACATTCTTCTGACATGGTAAAGATACTCAGAGAAAAAAAAAGGAGGGGAAGCAGATGTTGCAATCCTACTGGTTTGCAGGATTCTAGAGGAAGGGGGGAATACCCCACCTTTGAGCATTTTGGGCTTGATATCTTCCTAAAAAGTAGGAGAGGGAAAAAATTAATTTGCTGTCCCTGTGTTTGCAGCAAAGAGATTCTCTATCCCCTGGACCTGTCAGCAAGGAGCTACAGTGGCAGTCCTCTTGCCCCAGGCTTTGGTCTTTTGTGCTTTAAATATTGAATTGTCTTTCCCTAGTGCCCCTTTTACTGGAGAATATAAACTCTGAACAATGCTTTCTTCTCTAGAATGTTCTGTATTGATAATGAATTTGGGCTTTTAGGTGCAAAATTTACTACTGAGTTAACTATGAGCTCCTCCTTTGCATATCAGACTGAAATCGGTGTTAAAAACCTGGAAATTTCTGTTGCAGCAAAAATTCAAAGGTCTTAAAAAGGAGGACTTATGCAAGCTGAGTGGACTTTTTTGGTGGATTTGTTGTAGTAAATGGCAGTACACAGGTGGATATATTCACGTGCATGCACAGCACTCAGGCGGTGTGCAGCACTGCCTGGGTAACTGGAGCTGATGTTGGGGTGATTAATGCTGCTTGTATGGAAATACCTTTGGAATTCTCCTCTTACCTCCGGCCCTGGTAACTTGAGAAGACTTTTCATTCCAGCTTATCCTATTGGATATTTTCTGGATGTGTATTTCTTCAGTTTTGCCTTTCATTTGCTGTATCGTTTGGTACTCTTCAGACATGCATGATGCTGAGACATAAAAAATAATGTCATACATTTACAAGTCTGGCTTTCCAATCCAGCTCATGGATTTTTCTTATTACTACACTATGTATCCTTATAAAATGTTTTTTTTTTTTCTTGACATGTGACTGAGAAGTGTAAGTTATTTGCCTTTCTGTTGCACGTACATTTCTTGCCCTTTGGAGATAGATTTCTGAATTTGACAGTAGACTGTGTTCCTTCTCTTTTAAGCTTTTGAAATGTATAAATAATAATCACTATGTCTAATTTAATATTTTCTTCAAGGAGTATGGCTAAAAGGTGCTTATACAATCACCAGAGAGAGCACATCCTGTTCCTCCAGAAATACAGCTCAGTGGGACACGAAGCATCCAGGCCTAAGGCATCGATTTCTTCTCCTCTTCCCTTCTTCCATTCCTCTTCCTGCTCCCTGTGTCCCATCTCGTCCCACTCCATCCCCCCAAGTCTGTAATCCTTCAAGGAAATGCCCCCAATTTCTGCATTAACCTGTCTTTAGTAGTCAGTGTTTAATTTCACTTTGCTAGTAAAGACTCTATCCTGAAATTTCATTACCCTAAGATGAGGCTGAACTGATATTTGGAGTGCTTGGGTGCTTTAGTCTCAGCTAATTAGGACCTAACTTCAAATTTCTCATTGGGTGCATTCATTCTTGCAGCAAGAAGGATTTAAATTGGACTAGCATTCATTTACCTTTCTATCTGAGATCAGTGAACATAATGGAAAAAAATCTGAATGTAGCCTTAAAGGCAAAGAGAAATACAAACTTCCTGTAGGTTTCCATCTTCTTGGTTGCCGTATATTGGCTTTTGTGTTGGGAGAACTATTGTGTTCTGCTCTGATGAGGCTTTTGTGATGCTTGTAGAACTTTTAATAGAAACGTGAGGGTGGATAATGCCTGGTCTTTATTAGTTCTTGTCACTTTGTGGCTTTGAAAGGCTTGTTATCTGTTATCACAAAAAGGAAATGGCTTCTGCTATGTTTGTCACTGCAGAAATGCAGAATGCAGCCCTTTTCCTGGGTAACTATTGAAAACCATTATTGTAAGCTTTGGGAGGGATATAAATCTAGACCCTATTTGAACCCGAGATTAATAAATAAAAAAATAGTATAAAATTAAATTATTTTAATATAGTGCAAAAGCCGGTAGAATTTGTATGAGCTTCTATTTATTATTTTAAAATTCCTTCCAAATAAGCAACAGACTCTACCAGGAAACTATGCCTAAGTACTAAGGACAGGATAAATCTTAATAAAATGCATGCCTGGAACTAAGGTTTGTTTGATTGTAAAAGTAAAACTGGTTTTAGTTACAGCAGAACTTGTGCTCCTGATTTAACTGGAATATGACACAAACATTCTAGAAATACCCACCTACATCTTAGCTTAGTGCCTGCCTTGAAAATCACCCTGATCATCCTGACATGACTATAGCTGGGTCTAAAAAATGATCCTAAGTGATCCTGAAATGAATTGGATTGAGAGCTGCAGTGAGTGGAACATACCCTTTCAAGAAGTAAAGACCAGAGAAAGAAAAACAAAAGGTCCCTTTATCCATAGATATTTTTGTTATTTTATGTTATTTTTTCTTGTTTGGGTTTTCTTGTGGTTTTTTTGGGGTTTTTTTTTGTTTGTTTTTTGCTTTTTTTTTTTTTGCCTTGCAGGGGGCAGTTACACTGTTATCTCTTGGTTTTCATTTTTCTGTGCACATGATAGAGTCCCAGAAGAGTTCTTTAATGATTTCCTAAACTTAAACCACAACTTCTCACTCTGCCAGATTTTCTCATAATAATAGTTGCATTTTAAGCTGTTGCACGACTTAACTATTAGACATTTTTTAAAGCTCACTGTGTCCTTTTGAAAAAGAGAATTATAGAAGATGAACCCTCCTATGATAAAAGGAAAAAAGAACCTAGTGCACACTCAAAGTGCATTTATATTAAGTAAGATAATTGAAAATGAAGGCTGTTGTCATTGTATTAAACTCTCCTACTTTTACTTTAGTGAGTGGCAATAATCTGTTGTTTTAGTTTGAGGGCTGGTTCACTTGACTGTGTTACCTTGTTGTTCCACTGTAATACTGTGAAATTCTATATTTAATTCATTTAGCTAATATTGCAGTCTTGATTTCTCAAGGTTTGCATAGTTGTTATTTTATTGACATAATTAATTTTGTTACATTGATTAAAAAAAGAGATGCATCTTTTCACTAATTGGTATCCTGTTTTAATTCAATATAGATCTCTTGGGTTTTGATGTTAAATTTTTAATTTTTAAATTTTATTTTTCTATCTTGATATAAAAAAATAAAATTGACAGCCCATTTGTCATTTCTAGAAGCCAATGGATAGATATGTAATAATGAAGTGGTGCTCTAGAAAAGCAAGCCCAAATAACTAAGTCTTAAACTGAGGTAAAGCTAGAGGGTAAGAAAGTGCCTTTTGTCATCATTGAGTTGTTTGGATATTCATTTTCCCCATGATGATGCATTTTTTAAAAAAACAAAATAGGATAAAAATATCAGGATTTCAATAGCTAAATTTTATCACTGTTTAGTTTTTGATTTAATATAAACACAGACAAGAACTCAAACCATCTACATATTTTTCCTCCTCTTTCAAGAGAAGATGGGTTTCTAAAGCAGGAGATATGTAGGATACAGGAGAGCAGTGGAGAGGGCACACTGATCCTGTAATCTATGTTTTTTCTAGTCCTGATTGCCTCGCAGTCCTGTAATGAAATTTGTTAATGTTCTATTGAAGCTGATGGATTTACCAAATCTGGGCTGTCTGAGGAGGTCTTGCTTGCCTGAAAACAAATGGACACATATTTAGATTTAATCATCAAGAGAAACTTGGCTATTTTGATATTTACTTTCCTTTTGTAGTTGAAATAGGAGATTTCCCCCCCTCTTTTAAGCCCTAAGCACATTGTCTTCCTGTGTTACCCAGCTCCAATGCTCTTGAGGATGTGTGAGCAGCTCACAGTGCTGGCTTCAAGCCTCCCTAGGCTTTTCTCAGATATAAAGGTTGTTCACTACCCTGTTTCTGAGAGAAAAACCTCCCAGACATGTGCAGTGCTGTTTGCTGGTGAATGTGAATCCAGAGGCTTCTCTGAGGAGGTTGAGTAACTGGGACTACACTGCACTGTGCTGGGTGGACTTCAAAGTCCACTGCTTGCTCTGCAGGAGGAGGAATTGCTTTGGGATTGGCATGAGATGTCAGAGAGTGGAAGGAGCAGAGAAAAGAACACCTTGCTTGGCTCTCAGAGCTGTGCACGCTTAGTGAATGGCTGCTGCTTCTGTCTGAGGTCTCAACCTTTCGTGTCTCCTTAAGGAAGTTTGGAAGCAACTCTGGAAGCAAATGTTTGCCTGCCCAGAGAATTTGTATTTTCAGTAAGCAGGTCTGGGACACTGAACTACTTTTTGTTAGCAGTAAGGATTGCTTCAATGACTCGCAGAGGCTGTGAGCTGGCAGCTCCCACTATTCCCCTTCCATGAACCACCGGGCTCTGTGCACATCTGGAGCTGTTAAAAGCGCAGCTGAACTCGTGCTTTTTTCCTGCAGTCTGAAATTCAAACGTCTTTTAAGAATCTGAAAATCACTAGGCCATCATGAAAGTCTAAGCCAAGCTGGCCTTAGTTAATAAAAGCCAACAAAATCTCCTGGTCCTGAGAAGCTGACCCATAACTGAAAGTTTGACACCAGAGAGTGGGATGTGGACCCTTTCAGAACACCAACAGAGAGCCGAAAGATAAGTGAAAAATACATAGAATAGTTAAAATAACACAGAAACCAACCAGACATCTAACTTCTTGCAAGCATAGCCTACACAGGAATTTCTATGCAGTATAGAAAAGTGCAGATAAATGTTTGTAGTTTTTAATCCCATTTGCTGTCCTCCCCTGCCAACAAGATCAGGGCATACCCAAAATAACTCATTTAACTCTCACAAGCACACAGGATGCAAGCACACAGCTTAAAAAGGACCAGGCAATGTGGAACAACCAGAAATCCTTCCATGCTAAGGTGAGAGGGGAAAAAGAAAATCCATCCCAAGGCAAACAAACACTTTCTGTTGATTTTTAGTTTCCTATCAAATCACTGAACCTCTCAAGCCATCTACCCATCTGGAAAATGGAGGCCAAGCAAACCACTCTTGTTTTCTCCTTTCCAGCAGTGTACCAAGTTCCACTTGCTGGTCTGGCACTTAAAGGTGTTTCTAAAAGACAGCTTTGTTTTTCTAGGGGAAAAAAAAAAAATCTATATTTTGAAGTAAAGAAAAAAGCTCTCCTGCCTCTTAATACTAGTCTGAAACAGGAGGATGTTGTGGTAAGCATTACTCTTTTTTCTTTCTGAATTTCTCTGTTTTTTTCCTGGTGCTCACGTCAGAAATCTCCTACTTAAAGTACAGTAATTATGAATTTATTTAAATTACAGTAATAAGAATTTTCATTTTCATCATTTAAAAAGAGATGCCAGTATCAAGTTGTTTTATATATTCGTATTGGTGGGAGCCAGATAATTTGATACAGGTGCTGTCTTGAGGAGGAGAAATAATTACAAAGGAATTTTGTCAGCTTTTAGCTTTTTTTTAGTCCAGTTTAGGAGTTACTTGTGGCCAGGAGGTGCTGCCTGGGTTATGGGAAAGAAAAAATATCTATTGCAATAAGCTTATTTTGAGGCATGATGTATTTCAGTGTTTTGTTTTCTCTGTGCTCAATTTTGCCCAGAGAGCTGGGAGGTGAAGCCTAATCCCAAAAGAAAACAATTTTGAGCCAATCATTATTTTAGGTTATCTTTCAATGGAACAGCTCAATATTTGATAAAAGGAAAGAACTTTCAAATTGAAGAAATAAGAACAAAGAGCCCTCCTAAATATCCCTCTCCCCTGAAGCTTTCACTTGCTTATTTTTTTGAAGAGAGGATGCTTTCCTCATTTTCCATTTCCATTTCTATGAAAACAGCCAGGCTTATAGAGAATTTTATAGAGAATATTCTGTTGGCATAAAGCCTTTGCTGCAAGATCTATGTTAGGAAGTAGATTTCCTGTCCTGTCATGTGAAGGAAAAAGTACAGTTTTCATTGTGTTGCCTGTTCTCCTGGGTGCTGTGTGCACCTCTGAAGCACAAGACAGCCCCTTCTTTTACAGTGCAGAAACAAGTGGGGAAGAATGGGGAGGGAGGGGGGTTGGCCCGGCACAAAGGTCAGCTCAGTTAATGTCTACACTCTCCCACCACAGATCACAGCATGCTGGAAATCATTTATGCATCTGCCATGAAATACCTGGAAGAAAGAACCTGGATTGGAGCTGCCTCATCAGGCACCAACAGAATCACAAATGGAGGCTCGCTGGTAAAAAGGAGCCAATAAGGACAGCGAAACAGGGTTTGGAAAGGAGATGGAAAGCTTACACCTCTCACAAAACTTAGAGCCCGTGGCAGAAATCACGTCCTCACTGAAAACTTCTGCAAATGTAGGAAGTCAAGCAGTCAGACAGGGTCTGCTATCAGTGCAGAGCCAAAATAAAGAATATTTTCCTAACTGCTGCGGGCCACTTCAATATGGTGAGTGTCACAGGTAAGCTCTGTGTGTCCAGGGACTTGCTTGTAGAGGGAGTTGGGAGGTGTCACGGTGGTGTCTCAGCAGAAATTTCTGCATGATGAAAGCCGTGTTCATGAAGATGAATCCTCTCCTCCTAGGGTGTGAAACTGAAATTGATTGCTGCCACACTGTGACATGTGCAATAAGTTTCATACTCCTCTGTCTCTTCATCTGTGCATGCTAAATGCAAGGTTGACACGTGAAAAATGTCAGGGATTTGTTTTAGATTGGCTGTGCATTTCTCTGAGCTGATGGAAATAGCTTCCCATGGGATTTCTGCTCTGAGCACCGTTACCAGAGCTGAAAGAATTTGGGTGAAAAAAGCAGGGTGGGAAAATGTGTGTTAGTCTCGGGATAGATGCAGGTTCTACCCCAGCTCACCTAGCATCTCTTCTGGGTTCATAGCCACAGCTGCATTCACAGGCAGCAAAGTTATTTTACCCAAGACAGAGAGCTATGAATTTTCTTAAATTAAGAGCTTTGTGTGTGCAAACAGCCCGGCCTTATCACCTCTGGAATTCATTTTTTGTGCAAGTAGAACTCAGGGAGGATTGGTGCTTTAGGGGGAGTGTGACTTCATGTATGGCAGCCACTGCTGGGAGTTAATTGTTCTTTTTGAGGTGCCTTTTTAATTCTTCTGCTTCACTGGTTAGAAGAGAAAAAAAGGTATTGTGAAGAAAGGCTGGGGAGGCTGAAACACACAGTGGCAGTGCCCCTGTGCAATAATTTCCCTAAGTGACTTAGCTAGTTACATGGTGTGCTGTCCTCTACTTGTGCCCAGTGACTTCAGCTCCGTACCCCCAGCAAAAGGAAATATCTATTTGGCCTAAGTAGCCAAGGTGGTGAGCTCCCAGAGCTTTTTGGGTTGATTCTGATGTGTGTTGGGCTGAGAAAGCAGCTCACATTCCTTCCAAGCTGTTCCCTAGCTTTGTTAAAACTTAGGGATTTATATTCACCTTTCTTTCTCCTTCTTAAAGTTTTCCCCAAAATATTTTGGCTAAAACTAAAATGAGAATTATACCTTCAGTCACCTTTTTGACACCAGTTTTTTAGGCAAGAAAAGATACAGTTCGGCAGACTTTTACTTGCATGTTTGTCATTGTGATAACAGGTACGGCATTGCCAATTCCAAAGAGAGCACAGAGGTTACCTGGAATGGAAAAAGCTGTGAGAGTGGATTATGGGCTGGAAAAGATGTGGGCTGTGGTCATCATATCCTGGATAATTGTCTATGTCAAAGGTAAGAAGATATATACATATATTTTAATTTTTTTTTTCTGAAAATAAGGTGTATGATTGATTTTATAAAATTGCAAGTCTCTTGGGTGGATTTCTGGAATTGTCTATATATTCATTGACACCCCTTCCCCATTTTTTTTTCCAGCTGTACTTTCTGGGACCTACCTGCTTCCCCTTGCAGGGAGGTTTTCTCCTTTCTTCTACTACTCTGCACAAAGAAGGATTTTCTGTGTTGTTTTCTCCTCTGAAATATCTTCTGGCTCATTTCTAGTCCATCCTCTGTGCTCTTCAGCTTGCTCTGAGAAAGCTGAGAACATTCTCAGCGGGATGAGCTCAAGGTGGGGAATGCACAGGAAGCAGAAATGAAGTTAGTGTCAAACTCACTCTTGTACAAACAGAAACCCAAATAAATTGTGATGTTCTACCCAACTCTCTGATATTTTGAAAGCTTATTTTGTCTGCAGCCTTTTAACAGTGCTGTGTCCCTCTCCCCTTTTCCAAGTATTGATGTACATTTGCCTTTTGTGAAAGGATTTCCCTCTCAGGCCTTAAAATGTGGTACCAAATGACAAGGGGAAGATGGTTACACCAGTAGCTGTTTCTGTGGTGACTAAGGCTTGTCTGATGAGCACTGCTGATCTCTGCCATGTTTTTCATAGTTGGACACGTGTGTAATGTTTTTGAGTGTCAAAGCAGACACATAGACCAAGTGAAAATTTATCTCCTTGTCACTGCAGGGGATCTGATGTTTATTAGTTCTGAAGGGCTGTAATGGCTGCTTCTGTGGGAGCCTTTCAATCACAGGCAGCCTGATTTTTCTGATTTTTGGATTCCTGTTGAAATAAACGTGTAAGTCACATCTGACAGAACCAGCTGCTTGAAGGGTGCCCACAGCAAGCAGTAGAGATGTCCTGCTGGCTGGGGGAAAGGGATGTGCAGGGGCTCAGGGAGCATTGTATGATGCTATGTTTTGGGCTCCTGTGAGCCAGTTTGGACTGCAGATATTTTTAGCACCTTTCTTCAGCAGACAGTGGGCTGTACAACTGCACATCAATGCTGTGCTTCTCCCTAGCTTGGTGTAGCTATGTTTCCACCTCCTGGCAACTACGAGGAATAGCTGTGGAGAGACTAAGGAGAATTTTTTGTTGTTGTTTTTGGAAGGCACTAGAAGATGAAGAAGGAATTTTAAAGAGGCAGTTCTCTTGAGCTCAGGGGGATTTTTAACTCCTTGGCATTCAGTCTTCTATGCTGTGTATAAGCATAGAAGCTGCTTCCAAATATCCTGCTTTGCAACAACTGGGAATTTGAGTCCTTGAGCTGAAGGGTGCTTGCAGAAGGTCTGTGAGTAATAAGACACCAGAGAGACATTTTACATTGAGGGAGGGAGCATCAGTGTATATCCATGGTAACTGGAGACATGAACACACCTACTGAAATCCCAGCTCCAAATACCTGTGTGTTCTGTCTGTTGGGAACATCAGTTGTTATAGAGGCACATTCTGTTTTGGAAGACACATAAACAAGACTAGGAATTCTGTGATGTGACTAGCCTTGAGTAACAAGAAATTGCTAATTTTTGGTCAAAAATTAGTGTTTTAGGTAGCTCAAAGAATCAAAGGAGTTGGCAAAAGCAGGTTTAATATTAAAGTGAAAGCGTGCAAAAAGGCATTGGCAAGGTTCACTCTATTGCTTACTACATGGTTAAAGCACAGAGAAAAATAATGCTGAAATGTAAAATCAATCAATCTAAAACTAAAGTTATTCACAAATTAGCTACACTGATGCTAGGCAAGGAAAAGGAGAAAAATAATATAGAAAGGAATAAGGAAGGCCCTCCCAGTGTTCAGAGAGGTCTACATTGTCAAACTTGCACCCCAACTTGGCCAATGGCTTAGGCCTAAACTCCGGCTGTTATTTGGGCAAGAAAAATAAGATTTCAAAGCTGTTTGTAAAAAACCAAAAGCTTGCTAGACAGCACTAGCTCCTGGAACAGACAGAGTTTCTGATAAGCTCAGGAGAAGCTCAGCCCAGATGTAGCTCATCAAGGCTAAGGCTTAATAAGCATTTTTAAATCACATCAGCTCGAGGAGCGTTGGGGAGGCATTCTGTGAGTGTCATTCAGTAGTAAGAAAACACTAATTTTCCCGAATAAAAATCTCTTGCACAAGTCAGTATGACCTCTCCTTGTCCTTAACAATGGTAGAGCTAGAGCTGGGTTTTCTTTCAGGACCTGCTCAGAAATCTACAGTGCCTGTTTCTTGTCCCATGCCAGGGCAATGCCACCTCCCTGTTTCACAGGAAAAAATGACAGTTCTTTATCTCAGAACTGCCCTGTGTAAACAAGCAAAAGACAACTTTGAGTACATTGTGCAATACATGTTTCTAGAGCCTATAAAGAAATAGAGACTGTTAGTCCAAAGCTTCCAGATAAAATGTTGTTTTCAGTGAAAATGGATTTTCAAACTAACTGTCCAGGTATGCATTCAGCCAGGATCCCTCACCCCATATATTCCTTATGCCCTTGTTGACTACATTAAAACTACTTTGGAGGAGTTTTGCAGCACACATGCACAACCCTGATGGAGTAGAGGTGCTGGACTCACTGAACCTGGACTTTGAGTGAGATTGTTTTCTTCATTGTTCAGTTGCAGGTAACCCCCATGTACAGTGCCATCAGTTTTCCACAGGTCTTCTTTTACATGAGGAATTATCTTCTTTGGGGAAGATCATCCTCTTCAAAGAGGTTTGTTGGAAGCCTGTATAGTTCAAAGTTGCCTCTAGTTTATCCCTTTGGATGCATTTTTAAAATAATTTTTTTTCCAGAGACTCTCATTACAAAAGCCATAAACTAGCTCTGATAACAAACAATGTGGAAGCAATGTGCAAAACTCAGGTTTCTAGCAGAGGAGACTTTGAAAAAAGCCAAATAAGTTTTCCTGCTGTATCAGATGGCTGTGACTGCAGCAGCTCCAAGTGTGTGCATAAAGTTGTAACTCTATATAATGATTTTAAAAAATATTCATGTATGTAGCAATACACATAGATGTGGCCACAGCACAGACACTTTTAGCAGATTAAGACATGTCTTTTCATGTATTTTAAGTGAGCCCTTAGCTGTGCACAGACACAGCCACAGGCTGTAGCTATGTACATAGCCTGAAGGCAGGGGTGACAAAAAACGCTGTGGTCTGTGGCAGGAATGCATTCAGCAAAGTGAATGAGGTGGAGAGCAGGAGGCTTCCTGAGTCTGACACTTCTGCATTCTGTGTGCTAGCTGACATTTTTGTGTTTGTTTTTTGCATCTTACTTCCCATTCTCTCGTTTGTGTCATAGTGCTGTGCCTCAACTTTTCACACAGCGCCTTTGGACATGAATCAGGAGACAATGATGTGCATGTTCTCCCAGCCTGGAGAAGCTCTGCCACCCTGTCCTCAGGAGCTTCCACTCTGGGCTGTACTTTAAGCCATTCTGGGAAGATAAGAAAATGAAGATCTTTTATCAGCAATACCCACAGTCCCATGACAGCATTAACATCTGTGGAAGATTACCTGAATTTATACTGTATTTTCACCTGCAGACCACTGGACAACAAAATATGGAGGAAGTTTGCTTAGCAGAAACCTGAATAAGGACATGTTGTAGGACTCCTCCCAGCTGCTCCACTCTCCTGCATCATCCTGCCTCAAACAGAGCTTAAAATCTGCCAGAAGTGCTGGTAACCAGAAAAGAAATGAGGTGAGAAGTTTTACTGGAAATCACCAGGGAAAGTTTTTCTACACCACTGACATGCAGCTGTCTGGCTCATGAGAAAGGGAGTCTATGACAGCACAGAAACCTATGTGGTGAGGAAGGAAAAAGGACAAGAGTCCGCTTTGGTGTATTACGCCACACCAAAAGAGTGTAGGCAGTGATAAATGGCATCCTGACCCTGGTGTCACGGCTTTACTTGATATTTGAAAGGTGGGATGTGTAGTTTTTTCCAATATAGATGTTGGTTTCCATTTTAGGTACATTTTGTTATACAACCAATTTATTCCACTTGTTAAAAAAAAAAAAAACCAACAAACTCAGAAGGAGAAATGAAAGAAAACTCTTCCTCCTTTGCCATACAATAGCAGAATGTATTTCATAGTTGTAAGTGTTGATCTAGCTGCTCTACAAACACAGGGGACTTTTTGTCCCTTCCTTAAATATATAAAGAAGTAAAATACATATCTGTGCAATGACTCCAATGAGGGTGGGGGATGCAGTTCCTTGAGGCTGGGGAAGCTGTCTCCCAGCTGATGGGGATTCCTGGGGCTTCTTTCAGGATCTTCACAGCTGTCCATGGAATGGGGAAGCTGTAGATTTCAGAGAAAATTATGTTCCCTGAAGTGTGAAGGAGAAGGAGCAGTGAAGAGCTGAAGGAGAGAGGTTGGATAAGTCCCTGCTTGGCACTGCCCAGACCACAGTTAGTGATGCTACAGGTAGGACTGGGTGACAGGTGAGCAAGGACTACCTGGGATTTTATTTCTGCTATGCACCAGGTATTCTGCTATTTCTGTTCTTTTTAAAGCAGGAATTACTGGAGGTTTGTAGCTTCTTTATGTGCAGTTTGGGATGTGTGGTGCAATTCCATCATGTTTGGCTGTGGAGTGGGGGGCCAGTACCTCTGACTGAAAGATGGGGAGGAAACCTTCATCTAGGGAGCCTGAGATACTTCCTGATGCTTACTAAAGGAGTTAAACATCAAGCTATAAACCATCTCCTCTCTGTTCATCTCTGAATACTTGTATGGAAGACTTTTCCTCTGGTTAGCCACAGCCCTGAAAGCTGTAATTACACTTGTGGGTTGCTAATTCCCAGGTTTTTTTTTCTGGGAAATCAGCAGCAAAAAGCAGTAGGCCCACAAGGGGCAGGAGTTAAAGCAGTTAAGATCATTAACATATGTGTGGTAGGTAGATTTGTCTGCTGCAGTTCTGGGATGTGCGAGAAACTCCTGAGGTTAATGACCTACGATTAAAAAAGAAATACTTTTCCTTGATCTCTGCAAATTGTGACATAATTGCCTCTGGATATTTTAACATGGAAGTGTCATGTTTTACAGGCTTCATTATCAGCAGGGCTTTTCCCCATCTGTTTGCTGACATTGGTGAGAGCCACAGATGGTTTATACCTGAGAAAGTCAAGGTGTTAGGTACAAGAACTGTTTTTTTTTTCCACATAAAATGGAAAATGTAAAGCAAATTTCTTCTCCCTTTCTGGAAGGACGAGAATGAGCTACGAGGGGTGGTGTTGTTCTCATTCTTTGCTCCTACTGCCCCTTCCCAACAGTGGATTACTCCCTGAGGGACTGGCTGCAAGGCAGCTACAAGTGTGAAGAATATGCCTTGGCTTGTGCAATAACTTCACCAAACTATTTTCCAGACAAGCTAGTGATAAAAAGGTAAATATATCTGAGAAGAGGGGAGATGCCCAACTGTTTTCTGGAATTACAGCTACTATGTATGACAAACTTTTTTCCCCGGGGAAAAATACACACTTTGTAATGTTGGTATTACTCTAAATACTGGTATCTTGATGAATTCAATAGGTGGCACAAATCTCTGCCTTGCTGTGGAGGAAATTTCAAAACTATTTGCCTTTAGGTATATATTTACCTAAACACTGTAATTTTACAGTTGTTCTGTATAACTTGCTTGTGATTGTTTTGAGAGCTCATTCGATTAGGATAATTCTCTCTTTCAGAAAGCCATCCATCCTCTATTTCCCATTCTGCAGAGAAAGCTTTGTAGTTTGGAACTGAATTAAACTAGCTCACAAACTGGATAGACTAAATTTCAAATAATCTCTGGCTTCAACTGATGCCAGCAGCTGTGAAACAAACAGGGGGTCTGAGGAGAAAATGCACTATGGACGTTCTGATCCATCAGACCCTGACAGAGCTAACAGTCTTCTGCTGTGCTAGTAGAGGAATTCAGAGATCAGTTTTCAGGGCCAGGGTATCTTTAAGAGAACAAAAATACCAGGAGGCTCTAAAGTTGAAGCAGGGTCCATTACCCAGCAGCATTGTCAGGGGCGAGCCACAGACGGCTAAGGAAGATGCCTATGAACAGAGAAAGAACACAGCCTCTCCTCTCCCCCCAGAGCTTTCCATTTTCAGCTTTGGGAATATCTACCTGCTGCTCCTTTTGATATGTTTTGTCTTCCACAGAGGGCATTCAAAGTCTTGCTGTGTTTTGTTGCTTTTTTTTCAGTGGAGGGACTTGAGGAATTCCCAGCAGAGGACCATTGGTAGGGAGAAAGGGAGCAGAAGAGCCTGACCTGGGGATGTTGAAAATACAGCATAACCAGCATCTCTCACTTCAGAAAAACTTCAGGCTTTTGAGTTGGGTGTTGTGTGGTCTTGGTCATGAGGTAGAAACATAAAATACTGCTTAGAAGACACTGCTGCTGCTCTGATTGCCAAAATTGTGGGTTTGGATTTTAAATAATGTAGCCTTGATTCGCAGAGCAAATCCTAATCCTAATAAGAGGAAGCAAGAGAGTTGATACAGATGTGTGCCACAGCTTCTCTTCTTGCCATCCCTCCCAACCATTCCTTTCCTAAAGACACATCTTACACGGAACAGGGACCCTTCTAAGGCAGGGTCTTTTGTACTCTTTAAAATGTGCTTTCACTACAAAACAGAACCATATTTTGCTGAGTTAAACACGGGAATGGCCCTGTGACATACTGGTTATCCTTCAAAAAGTTGTGGTGACAACTGATGCACTGATGGATACCTGACCTTTTCCTTTTTCAGGTTGTGTTAGCAAATATTTAAATCATGTTGGACATTGCATGCATTTGCCTGGTTTTAAGTTGGTGCATTGCATAGCTCAAGGCTTGTGGCTGGTGTGTGGTGTCTAACAGCAGACAGATAAGGCTGTGACTTGTTTGTCATGTGACAAAGCAGTTGGTTTCTCTCAATTTAACTCTGCCACATCCTCTTCAGGGCATCTCTTTCAAGGGGGGAGGGGGGTGGAGGCTTTATCTGTCTTTAAGAAAAATCAGCTGCATGTTAAGGTCTCAGAAGCAACAACAAAAAGAAACCAATGAAACCATACAGCTGAACGCAGCGATGGAATCTCCTAAACTGAGATAGTTTGCAGCTATATCTGGGCCCTTGGTGAGGACAGAGAGGGAGGGGAGCTCCAGGTACATCCCTGCAGTTCCCTGGTGAGCAGGAGCTGCCCTGGAATCAGCCCTTAGGAGCGGGATCCCCGTGGGAGCAGCTGTGGGTGCTGAAGTCTCCCTGCTCAGCCCAGCAGGAGGATCGGAACACGCTGGAGCTGCTGCTGCTCCCCTGCCCGGCTCCAGGGTGAGGAGATTCCTCTTGGGCCTGTCCAATGAGTGCATCTCTCCAGCCCCAGCTCTCCTTGGGATGAATCCCAGCGCGAAGAGCGGCACACGCATCGCACGGTCTTGTGCCACCCGCCGCCACCGAGGCTGAGTAAAAAATTTAATTTATTTTAATGCAGCTGTTGAGGCATTTTAATTCCATCAAAGGCAATAACACAAGGCAAGGCATATTCGTTTGCTACTTTTAAATTGGTTTGATTCATCTCTGCTTGGTTGTTCCGTTTTGGACTTTGAGAATTCCTTCTTGCTCAGAGGCACAACTGTTCAAGGGTTGTGAATTTTAAAAATTGCAGATTAAATTCTGCATTTCACACATGAATATTTAAACAGAGTCATATACTCTCTTCTTTCTGTAAGGTCTCATTTTTAATTATTAATGCCTGTTCTTTTGAGCAAATAAATGGCATATATGAGATTTGTATGCATTTAAAAAAAAGAAATTTCTCTGGGACAAGTTCCAATATGACAATATTCTGTTATGAATATTTATGGACCCATCAAAATTGGTGAATATTGAATTTGCTGAAAGAAATTGCAGAAGGTTTGTTGTTTTTTCTTTTAGTTTCCTTTTGAAAGGACTGAGAAAATCTTTGCAAATTGGGTCAAGTTCAGTACATAAGTCTGGTCAAAATGTATATTTTAAAATTTTTTGGTTAAAAAAATAGTTTTCAAAGTTTCAGACTTTTTTGATTGAAAGCAACTTTTACATGCATAATATATCCAAATTGCAAAGAAAAAAAATCCCAAAACTTCTGACAGCTCTGAATAAAATGAAACAAACCAAAATATTTCCTTTATGGCAAAGATTTTATGTGAATGACAATGTAATTTTAGATGTTTTTAATGTAAGAATTACCTTGCTTGTTGAATATAGATCGAAGTGATTGTATTGACATTTTTACCAGGTAGTAATGAAAGCTTTTCATCCAGATGCATCTCAATTCTTTGTTAGAATTGTGAGCAAAACAATTCTTTGAGGAATGCAATTCTGTTGAGGGTGGTGAGGTGCTGGAACAAGTTGCCCAGAAAAGCTGTGGATGCCCCATCCCTGGAATTGATCAGGTCAGGTTGGATGGGGCTCTGAGCAACCTGGTCTGGTGGAAGAGCCCAGGGCAGTGGGTTGGAACTGGAAGATACTTAAGGTCCCTTCTAACCCAAACCATTCTGTGATTCAGTGACTTGAACACACACTTGTATCACCCTGTGTTAAGGAAAACACCATCTCTTGCCTCTCTCGCTCGTGCCTGTGGCAGCGTTTGTTCTTCCTGTGCCACACTTATGGCAGTGTTGTGGCTTCTCTCCTCTACACCTGACAGCCTCTCTTGGATTGTTTTGTATTTAAAATGAAATCTTTAATTCTGCATAATTGAAGGCTGTTACTTTAATGGCAGCTGGTACCAGATGAGGATTCAGGTCTCTGGTGCCTTTCCCTCTCCTCCCAGCACGTGCTGGGAAACTTGGTTGTGTTTGAATAAGGGTGTGAACAGTGTGTGATCCAAATAAGCCTCAAGGAAAGTCCTGTTACTACAAATATGAGATTTCTGAATCAGCCATTGCACAGAGGTGTTTGCTTGTCTGCTTGCATCTTGGATTTTGACTTGGGAATGAAAACATTGTGTCATTATTTCCCATGGGATGGGAGCATGATTTTCCAATCATCTCTAACTGTGGGTGCCTGATTCAGAAAGTAAATTATTAAAGAGATAGAAATGGCAGCATTTATAAGACATGGTTTGTTAAAAGGTTTAGATAATTGTAGAATAGCAGGAGTTACTAGATGCCTCTTTAGTTCACCCTGCCTATGAAAACAAGAAACAAACTCATATGTTTTTTGATCCCTTGCAATAGGAGGGCTGCTCTTTTTGTTCTGCTCCAAAAGGGAATTACTCTGCAAGAAATTAGAGGCATGCAAAGGCTAGGAATAATTTCTTTGCCAAATAGTTGATGAAGTCTAGATCCTGAGTGGTACCAGAGATCCAGGATTTAAAAAAAACTCTTTGTAAACAGTAGCTTGTTTGGTTTTTTGTTTGTTTGGTCTTTCTTTTCTTTTTTTAAATTTTTTAACCCTGTTTTTGCTTTACTTTCTTCACTGTAAGAGTGGCACTTGACATGGGGTCTTGTTTAGAGCTGCTTTCAAAGGAAACAGGGGTTTTACTACATGTTCTCTTTGATGGGATGAGCACAACCCTTTGTGACTATATGCCATTTTCTTTGCCTTCATTTTCTGCAGGGTTGATTCCTTCTGCTGAAGATGGCTCAGAAATGGGCAGTTCTGGCTGTGCTCCTTTTCTTGCTAATCAATCTGGTTGAAGGTAAGTGAGCAAGATGCAAAACTACATGTAGCACTCTTTGGTATTCTGCATTTCCAACTTGCCAGGACATTGAAACTTCATAGTAAACTATGAGCATAGTACACATAGAGCAAATTTTGCCTATTGTTTAGTAGGAATGGAAAGAGTAATGTCACCTCGGCTGGCAAAATAATTGAGTGCCTTACAGAATGATAAATCTGATAGGAATCCAAAACTGGTCATCTAAAGACACATCTGTTCAGCTGGGACGAAGGCAGGAGAGCTATGATTTCTGGAATAAAAGGGATCCACATATGTCTCTTACTAAACTTCTGCTCCAAGTGATGCTGGTTTTAACCGAGCCACAGGTGTGTGTTCCAAAGCTATTCTGGGTTTTACTAGCACTTGAAGCAAGGCACCTAATTCAGGAACACAATAAATTTTTTAAAGTAGCTTCCTTTCCCTTAAGAGTGAATTTTGCCTGCCCCATCAATTTTTCAAAGCCTACATAAAAGTGACAGAAATTTGTTACCTAAAATAAAGGTGGAGGACTTGCAGCATCACTGTCCACAGCAAAAAGGCATCATCTCCACTCCACTTCCAAGCTTCAGGAAGGTGGATCTGGAAGTTGAATGCTAATATGGCCCAAAGCTGCCAGTACAGTCAGGAAGTGTATTTTGAAAGGTGCTGAAGCTAAAAGTTTCCTGTCCTTTTACAATGACTGTAACATCTTTTTAGTGTCTTTTTTTTTTCATCTTATGCAGCTCACAAGAGGGTGAGTGTAGAGGCTGGCCATGAAGCTGTGCTGAGTTGCCCCAACATCTCCAAGGTGCCTTTGCTGTTGGTGACATGGAAGAGGAATTGCAGAAGTTGCTATTGCTTGTCCTATAGAAGGGATCAGAATGAGACAAGAAGGCTGAACTGCAGTGAGAGGATCACGTGGAAATATTCACCTGTCAGTGACCCTGCACTTCGTATTTACCCTGTGAACCTTGGGGATGAGGGAATTTACACCTGTGAATTTGCCAACAGTGAAGGGAATTTTCATTTTCTCTTTTCTCTGATTGTAATAGGTAAGGCTGCAATACTAAAATAAAAGTTAAATAAGTTTATTTGCAACATAGGCAGGAACAAAAGACTATTTGGAAGCATAGTGAATAAAAAAACACAGGAAGACTGTTTTGGCTATATTAGTTAAATCATCCCAATATAACTGAAATATATAAGAAATTAATTTTTAACTCTATGGTTGTGATTACTAATTTTAGTCACTTGATTTTTTTTTTGTTTGCGGTCTTTTTTTTTTTTTTTTTTTTTTTTTTTGTTGTTGTTGTTCCCTTCAGAATTGTGCCTTTCTGATAAATGTTTAGGTGTTGTGCAAGCCTTTCCCTGTTTTGCCAAATGCAAAATATGAGTTGCTGGACTTCAAGAGGAACAGTTTTGCCCAATTCCTCTTTTATTTCCCTGCTATCAGATTTTTGATCCTACATATCAAACTCCTAAATATTGTACCTGAAGCTTCAGCAATCTGTCTCTCATCAGTCAAGTTGAAAATCTTTATTGAATCCATCCTTCTGTCATCCCATCTCCTGTTAATCTGTCATCACCTTTTGGCAAACAGGAGGAAGCAGTACTTTAGATGCAGCCAGCTAGTTTTTGAGGTGTCCACCTTAGACTTTTTGATGTATTTTTTTTTCCTTTAAGATGTGCTAATATTTCAAATTATTTTAAAATCTCACTAATTGGTCATACAATCTAAAAAATACCACCTGTTTGTCACTTTCTTGGTTGGTGATTTTATACTAAAAAATGAAATAGAAATATAAAATATGAATAGAAATATTGGTTGTGGCTTTTTAAAATTTCTTCTGCAGTCCCTCCTACAGTGACTCTGACCCATGACGAGAGCAGGGTGGCTGCCTGCCAGGCTTCTGCAGGAAAGCCAGCTGCTGACATCTCCTGGATCCCTGCAAGCAATCACAGCTCTGAGGAAGAATTCCATCACCCCAATGGAACAGTGACCAGAGTGAGCTACTTTGGCTGGACCAACATCTCATTTCCTTCTGTCACCTGCCTGGTCACCCATGCAGCCATGAACCAGACTCTGGTCATTGGCCTGAACTGTAAATAATGTTATTTTGTGATTGCTTTTCATTATGTCTTGGGTTCCTCTTTGCTGTTCTGTGCAGCTCTTCCCACTGAATGCGAGGGCCCTGGAACTAGGTTAGTATGGTTATAAGGTGAAGTCCTAGTGCGTGCTGAGAGATAAATTAATAATTTTGAAACCAAATGCTTTGTGACACTGTAGAGGGAAGATTTGGCCTGTTTTTCTTTCAATTCCTGTTCTGTTTACAAGAATTCCTTATTTTGCTTTCAGTGGGTTCACCTTGGCTGGCTGCCAGGTGCCCTCCAAGCTGCTCTATTGCTCCCTCCTCTTCAACAAGCCAGGGAGAAAAATATAATGGCTAGCTCATGGGTCAAGGTGAAGACAGGGAGAGATCATTCACCAATTACTGTCACAGGCAAAAGAGACTTGAAAGTAATTTCTTGCCACTCAAATCAGAGTAGGATAGTGAGAAACAAGAAAGAATCTAAAAGCACCTTCTCCACAACATTTTGTCCAGCTTTTCCACAGTAGTGATGGTCTGGAGAAAATTTCCTTGGAGCATATCTGTCTGTGACTTGCAAAGGTATTAAAGGCTAAAATTCAGCTTCTCTGGCTGTGCTGGACCTGTTGCAAGTCTATCGCAGTAGGATTTGTAAGAGCAGCTAATGAACGCATATCACCAAAGTATCTCTACTAGTAAAGGCATGAAGAACAGAAATCAGCATAAACCAGTCATTAATAACAGCATTTTGCAGGGATGGCTGCTCAGTTGTTTGGGGCTAGTAGTACTTGAAGAAAATGAGACTGTAAAGGCAGATGAGTTGAAAATGAAAATGTGTTTGTACACACAAATGACGGGGATGTGAGGCAGCTTCTTACTGCTGGTTGACATCCAGACTTCTCATCTTTCTGCTTTGTTTGGAAGCGGAGGATTAGCTTTTTCTTCCAGATAAGGTAGGCAGTTATGTCACAAATTCATGGATACTGACATCTAGCTCTGTAACTTACTCTCTTTTCTCATTGTTCAGACACCTCTGTCCTTCAAACCAGAACAACCTCCCACAGGCTTCTCTACATCCTGACAGGAGCAGCTGCAGGTGTTGTTGCTGTCACTGGTGTGACTGTATGCTTGATTTTCAGGCACAGAGGTGAGTCCTTTGAATCTGAAATACATTACAATCCCATTGCTGACTATGTGCAGGTACAAGGACATGCACATTATTGCTGAGACTGAGAGGGAGTGGGAGGCAAGGGCTGAGGAAAATCTTCATATGCACTGTCCTTTTGGAGAAGTCGTAATGAAATAAGGGGTAGCAATTTAAAATAAGTCTGGAGTTTTGAAAGAGCCATAGGTATTGTTGTATTAATGCATTACAGATGTGTCAGAGATTCATTCAGGATGAAAAGGGTTCTGTATGTTTTTAGTTTGAAAGGCTCTGACTTTTTAGTATGATTTTGTTTGTTCTGCATTTACTAGCAAGAAATTCTATACTTAAGAATGACAGTTTATAAAGTAATGACTAAACACAAATTATCTCTTTCCATGAGCAGGGATAAGTTTTCCCTTGAGCAAGTGTAAGAATAGGCCAAATGTACATAGTTTGATATCTTTCAGATACCTGTGCATTGGGTATATTAGATAGTTGATTTGTTTAATTTCTCACACTAAATGCAAAACACAGCTACTAAGAAGAAAATGAACTTACCCCAGTAGAAACCAGGGCAGCCAGCATGACCAGAATTTTCAATGAAGGGAAAAATAAACCAAGAGCATGTTAAGGAGCAGGATGTAAAATAATAAGAACTTTAGATATGAGGGGAACTGTTTTGAAGAAAGTTTCTCAAGAGCTGGGGGCAGCTAGAGGAGAACCCCAGCTACAACAGCTGTGTACCCTGCACCATCAAACCATTCTAACTTCCTGACATCCTACTTCCAGCTTGCTGCTTACGTAAACGAGCACAGGCCCCAGCAGAACACTTTACAGTAAGTGGGCTTTGTGTGTGTCTGTGCTTTGCAGGTTTTGGTGTATTCTTCACTAAAACTTGTGATTTCTTTGCGGTGTGTCAACTCTGACAAACCTCCCATATACCTCTGTGAGCACTTGGAGGGGGGAATGAGGGACACATTATCTATGAGAATGTCTGTTGTTTGGATGGCCCTATCTTCATGTATAATCAGAGTATTTGAGCAATTGTTTAAGCACTGGATAGAGAGTGGTGCAGTGCATTTCCTGTCTATAAGTCACAATGCTGATTTTTAACTCTCCCGAAACTTAATATTTTCATATTTCTGCTTCACAAAGTAGTCTTTACTCAGATGTTTTATTTAAGAATGTGTGTTCTTAATGGCATAAGCCTGCCTGATTTAAGATTGTATGGAATCAGACATGCCTTTTACAATGAGCAAAAAAGGCCCACTTTGTTTTGCTCTATTGGAGACAAACACAGCTATGAAACTTTTATTTTATGTAGCAGTTCATATACTTGTAAGCCAGGAAACACCAGGGATAAATCTGCCACCACAACTTTTACTCACTCTCTAATTCCAGTGTGTTGTGATATATATCTAAAAAAATGAAAATGTGCTGCTTTTCCTCAGGGCTTCTGCCTCACTTAATGCACATGGAAAGGCCAATTATTTCCTATTTTGTTTTCTGCTCATGATTTAATTAAGGTTTGTGTGCCTTGTTTGTTAAAAACCAGTCAGAGTGCTCTGAAATTAGAATGATTCATTTCCCGGTGTGCTCCTGTGTGACATTCAGGACAATTTCATTGATGAGAGGGGGAGTTGCAGAGATCAAAGGCTTCCAGTGATTTTAGGTGCCTAAATTAGATTGTTTGTGGCTTGTCTGTTTTGTTTTTGTTTTGGTACTTTGTTTTCAGAGAAGCTAGCATTGTTCATTTTCATCTATTATGCTGTAGATACCAGCATTTTGAAATTTGTTTTTGAAAAGACAATATTAAGAAAAAAACAATATTAAGAAAAAAATTTCAAAGGCTGTCCTGTTGAGGCTTTGTGAAGGCTGTTCTTGCATCTGTCTGCCAGCTCATGTTTCACCCTCTGTGCTCTACCCTTTTGCACAGAGAGCTCCGAGAAATCACATTTCTTTTTCAACAGTAATGTCACCTACCAGGTCTCTTCTGCTCTTTGCTTTTAGTTTGGGATCTACAGGAATAACAATCCCACAAAATTCTACAATGTAATACAATGGTACATGTTTTTCTTCCTTTTGCAGACCAGAGGATGGGGGTTCCCACCTTCATGTGGGAGAAGAGCATGTGACTTTCCAGAGGACATCTATGTGAATTACAACCCAAGATCTATTTATGTATTCTTAGAAGAGCATAGGCACAAGTAGCCAGCTCAGCTGCTAATAATACTCAGCTACTCAAACTGGTACTTAACTCTTAATCCTCAGACCTTACCCAAAAGACCAAAACCTTTGTCCTTCCTGACCTGACGATGGTGAGGCAGAAAGGCCCATTTTAGTAAGTTTTTTTGTCTTTCTCTAGATATCAATACAGCTCTACAGAAAATTGGGACTTTCAAAGACTGAATTAGGGAAATACCTTAATTTTGTTTGAAAATGGACTCTGATGTATGTACCACCCTTCCTCAAAACAATAATGAACATATTTCTGTGCCAGAGTAAAATATACTCTGGTGAAAATATAGCACTTTTCTTTCCATTTTGACAACTGGATTCTCTTTAAAGTTCTGTGTTGGAAACCAGAAAATGACACAGGTCAAAAGTACAGAAGGTCTAAGCAATACATCTAACAGAAATGCAGAAAGAAGGCAGTCTTATGGTTTTTTGGTTATTTTGTTTTATTTTCTGGTTGCACATGACATATGATAATCTAGTATTTGATATCTTTGTTTATTTTTGAATTTTTAACATGTTTATTTTTCAATTAATGTGCTTGCATTGATAACTGGTGGAAAATAAAACCAATTTGACATTATACTGGATATAGAAATAAGAAACAGCAATGGAAATTTTTGGTCACTCTTTAATGTAAATGTGCAAATATGCAAACACTTACCTGAAGGATTTCTGTGGTTATTTGGGCAAATGTTTGTTGAACAGTTCCTGAGAAGCTGAGATCATATCATGGTTTTACTGAGAACAGAAGTATTAAGTTGTCTAAAGTGCAGGTGGTATGCTTGTTTAAAACAAAAGAAAAAAATACAGCCCTAACCACATCATTTATTTCTTCTCATTTTCATGTGTCCAAGATAAAAAACTCTCCACAGACTGGTTGTTAATTTCAGTTTTCATTGGTCAGGTCTGTCAGAGCTTCCAAACACTAATGCAGCAGTAACTAAGCTGAAATGTGTGTTTTGAAGAGCCTTTGCCTGCTTGTTTCTGCAAGATCATCTCTGCTCCATAAGCATTCTTAGGCATGAGCATCTCCCAGTGCCATTTAATTGCATTTTATCACTTCTAAATAGACATGGATGTCTGCTGACATCACTCCAGCCTTTCAGAAAGGCATGAAGAGTGACTCTGCCTTAGGGAAAAGGGCCTACAGAGGCCAAGCTGGTTTCCAGGTTTGTGGACAAGCAAAGCCTTTCCTGTGGTGTTGAATGTCAGTGCTGGGTTGCTCTCCCTCTGGTCTGCAGCATCATCATGTCTTCTGTGGGGAGGGAGAGGCACTTTTCATGTGTGAAACCTCTGGGAGAAATAAGTGACAGTTTGGAAGTAGAGCAAATAGGTTTGAAATGACTCTAGATAGGAAAAGTGTTTTGCAGCTCTAGTGAAATCCACAGCAGTGCCTTAGTCCAAGGTGCAGTCGAGGCATCATTTGCGACTTCTGAAATAGTGGGAAGATCTCTTGTTGCTTAAGGAACTGCCCAGTCAGGTCTAAACCTGGGTTCCTGGGCTGGTGTTTCTCAGTGGGGCACGTGAGCATGGATTGTTTTTGTGGCAAGTGCAGCAATCTGTGCCTTTTTCAGAAGCAGGATCATTGAAGCCAGACCGAAGGATGACAGGGCTGTAAAAATTAAGAGATTTAGGCTGTGGAGCAGCCTGCTTCTGGGAATCACAGTGCAGGTGTGCTGTGATCATTGGGCTGTAATGTAAGACCTTTTCTTAATTCCTTTGCCCTAAGTGATGTTGAAGGGTAAGATCTAATGGAGACAGAAAAGATTAGAATGTAGACAGGGAGATGATGGTGTATGGGGAGAAAGCTCTCTGAAACTGTGATAATTTGTCCTGGCTGAAAGGATATGGTTTTCACACTCATATCTTTATTTTCACCTTTAATTTGTATTTGGTGGAATTGGCCCAGTCACCTGCAATGTGTCAGCACTTCCATGAAGGTAAAATTCTGAGCAGGCTTAGTGCTGAAATGAGGTGCTCTGGTAATGACACGGGCTATCCTGGAATAAAATTGGCCCTTAGGCTTGTTGTGTATGATTAATAAAAATTATCAGACCAAAGAGAATAATGTGGCTATTGAGGTGGTTGTAAAAAAGGCTGGGACAACAATAAAGCTTTCACAGGTACTTTCAGTGTTGGCTACGACTGGTAAAGGGCAGGGTTTTGTCATATGTGAAGCTCCTGGTGTGGGCTTTGGTGGCTTCCTCTCTGCCTGCCATGACCAGAGCGATGTGTGCCACGCTTCTTGGGCTGATGAGCTGATCTAATGAGTATTAGAGAATGAGAAATAAATCACTTAAATATTTTCTGTCATGCTGCTTTTGTATGGAATAGGCAGCTTGGTGTAACCCAGAGAACAACACAAAATGTGTTTGGTATAACTATTTGGTCTTAAAAATAAGCATCTCGAAATGTTTTTATATTTATCATGTTTTTTTTCCCCCCTGTTAATTATGAGTACATTCTTGGTGACTCTAGTCTTTTTATTTGCACTGAAAGAAAATTTAATCAAGGCAGATATTTTAGACTGCCAAAATGTGTAGGAAAATGCTGACTGTTTGTTGAATAATCATTGTGAGAGAGCTACTAAAAAGTGATGGGAATTGGAGTGAACTATTTGCACATTGTCACAAGAAAAAAAAATTTAAAAAAGCCTGGGAGCATGACACTGCTGTTTCAGATTCACTATTTAGTCAAATGCACAGCTGACTGAATGTCACTTGAGCTTTTTAGCACCAGATGTGATTATAGATGAAAATGCTCCTGTTTATTGTGTGGATTTTCACTCACATTGTTCATAGGACACTCTTTGTAATAATGATGATGTCTGCTTTCTGATTAATCTATGAACAATTTGTCTTCTGGAAATAGCAGGTGTTGTGATGCCTCTCTTCACTGAATATGGAAAAAAATGGTGACAAAGTATTATGTTTAGAACCTCATAAATTGGAATGTGACTTCAGATGATGAACAATATTTGTTTAAAATCACAGATTTCAACACCAGGATTGAAATGAAGAAGGTAAACAATTTTCCTACAGACTTTGGAAATGGAGCAGATGTCCAAAGGGTATTTGCCAGTTCAGTGAAGAGCTCAGTTTTCCTAAGTTTGAAATTGCAGCTATAAGCTTTGTCTAAACTTCCTGGCATCAATTTGTCACAACTTTTCCTCTCAGATGAAAAAATAATGCTTTCTTTGGTTCTCCTCTAGTAACTGTAACACCTGTGATGTCTTTGTGACCTGGTGTTTCTGGCTTTGAGAAGTCTTTGCTGTTAATGATAACTTGTCAGCTCCTTAATTTTTTTTGTCCACAATCTGTATACACCTATCATGTCTTGGAGGCAGTGAAGAGCTCAGGAAGTAACCAAGTAGGACTTTTTTTACATTTCCTATCCCTTCTCTGTCCTGTCATAATTTGTACTTGTGCTCTTAATGATGCTTCTTTAAGCAAGTACCAACTTTTCTCTTTTTCCTCCCCAATATTTCCATGCATTAGTTTTCTCAGTTTATTGATTTCTATGTTCCTTAAGTAATTTATTATCTAGTTTTACTTCTTTCTCTTTTTGGCATCAAATACAATTCTATTCTTCATTCTTTTGTGGCCTTTTTAATGTGTGCAACAAGAGATTTCAAATAGTTTTGTAATTTTTACTGCTTTTCACTGAACTTCTTCATAGAGACACACTTACTCCAGGTCTCCTTCATTTTTTCCCCCCAGTGCATAACAGGAAGTTAATCACTCTTGATGAGAAACAACTTCTGTTCTTAGACTTCTGTGAATCTAAGCTCACTTGCCAAATCCAAATGCATAATATGGAGCATTTTATTTGTTCTTGGCTGACATCTGTCTAACAGAATCATAGAATTGTTAAGGTTGGAAATAACTTCTGAGATCATCAAATTCAACCATTAACTTAGCACCATTGTGGTCACAACTAAACTGTGCTCCTCTGTGACAGATTTACATGTTTTTGGAGACATCCAGGAATGGTGATTTCACCATTTCCCTGGGCAGTCTGTTACAATGCCTGACCAGTTTCTTAACAAAGAAACTTTTCTGAATATTTAATACACTCTGCAGCACCTGTGAGGAAGAGGAGTGAGAAAAAATGTGAGAGGAACAGCCCTGCAGACACCAAGGTCAGTGCAGAAGAAGGGCAGGAGGTGCTCCAGGTACCAAAACTGAGATTCCCCTATAGCTCGTGGTGACACCATGGTGAGGAAGCTGTGCCCCAGCAGCCCATGGAGGAGCAGATTTCCACCTGCAGCTCATGGGGATCCCATCCTGGAGTACACTTCTGGCAGGAGCTGTGACCCTGGAGAGGGATCTGTGCAGGAACAGGTTTTCTGGCAGAAATCACACTGGAGCAGTCTGTTCCTGAAGGACTGCATCCCATGGAAAGGACCCATGCTGAAGCAGCTCGTGCAGAACTTCAGCCTGTGGGAAGGACCCACGCTGGAGCAGTTTGTGAAAGACTATCCCATGGTAAGGAATTGCTGGAACAGAGGAACTGTGTGAAGAAGGAGTGGTGGAGGTGCAGAGGTATGAACTAACCCCCAAACCCCATTCCCCATCCTGCTGCACTGCTGGGGTTTGGGAATAGGAGGTAAATCTGTGAAGAAGAGGGAGTGAGAGCAAAGGTGTTTTCAATTTTGTTTATTTATCATTATCCTACTCTATTTTTAATTGCTAATAAAAGAAATTAACTTCCCAAGTAAAGTCTGCTTTGCCCATGACACTAACCAGTGATCTCCCTGTTCTTATCTTGACCCATGAACTTTTCCATCATATTTTCTCCCCCTGTTATGCTGAGGAGAGGGAGTGAGAGAGTGTCTGGCTGGGCATTGTCAGATGGCAGCCAGCCAAGGTCAATGCACCAGGCAAGGCTTAGTCACCAGCAGAGCTATAATAGGAAAGAGGATGCTGTAAACATTGGATTCTACATTATTAAGGCATTTTTATGCCGATGGTCCCTCTCTAGGTCTTCTGACTTTAATCTCATCACTGTGTACTGAGCTCTGAAAATTTCATTTCCACTCATTCTATTCTCTTAGCTGTCAATAAGTACTGCTGAGCAAACAAGGCTAAGTGCTTTTGGGATTGATTTTTGTCTCACTCCTGCCACAGTCCAACAGCGTTTATATTGTCATATCATAATGTTCGTATCAAGCTGTGCTTATATTTTAGATTTCCATGTGTACATCTGAAAAAGAAACCATGGACATCCCCCCTGAAATCGTTTCTGTGCTAGATTTATGATCTCTGAAGAGCACAACCCCCTCTTCTGTGCAAAACATGCGGCCACATGCTGCAGAACAACGTGCTTAGTACACAAATGTCTTGTAACTCACTCCATCTTGTGTGAGAGGAGTGTTGTGTGGAATAAACAGACGAGCGAGCCAGCTACTGAAAAGCTCTGGTCTGGCTGTTTGTCTTTTTGTGCAACTTGCTTGAAATATTCAAATCAGGAAGATTGGAATCCAACACCACCAGTCAGTGTATTGTTAGGTCTGCCTCCTTAATCAGGCAAGTTAGTGCCTGCAAAGCTCTGATACCTTCAGGAGCACTGCCTGCCTCCAGGTCTGAATATCTACCAGCTACACTTAGTATCACATCCTTCATCATTGTCATTTTTGTGTAATCAACAGTGGCTGCCAATTTCATGCTCCTATAGATAGCAAAAATAAAAACGTACACCTACATGCAAACATCTTGATTCATAGGTACATTGCTTGGTGTGTGTGAGTGTGTGTGAAGCTGCGAATATACACCGGAAAAGTTACAGTGTTTTTTCCTTGAGAAATTAATTTCTTAATAATTTCCCATCAACAGAACATCTTATTTTATATAAATGTTGTGAAAGACCTTATAAGACGGATAGACACATCAGGGATGAAATGAAAAGTTGCTGTGGAAACCATAACCTGAAAAAAATCTTTCTTCTGTGCACTCAAAATACCAGTCTTTGTCTTCTATTAGAATATTGTTTGCATATCATTTCCCTCTTTTAGAAAGAATATGAATTTCTGATACACAAATGGAAATGCCATCTTGACAAAAAGTGCATCTCAGACTAATGGATTGTTTTTTTTCCTCTCCTGTGAGTATTTAAAGCCTTTCTCTTGTCTTGGTATCAATCTGGTGTAAGGCAGAAAAAAATGTAATTCCTGTTGGTCAGGACTGCCCACATCTAACAGCTGCAGCAGTTTTGAACTGATCAATGCCTTAATTGGACCTGATTTTGGTGTAGGAGACAGCTTGGGGTAGGTTATAGAGGAGAGAATAAGAAACACATAGAAGATGTTAAGGCACAGGGAAAATGTTTGGCTAAACACAAATCACTTTAACTCTCAGCTTGCAGCTGTCATCATCCTTCTATAGCACATTCTTAGAAAAACACATTTCAAAAAGGGCTGTCAAATGAGCAAAAAGAGATTTGAGCTCCAGTGTGGAGAGGCTGGATCACACCAGAGCTGGTGTCCACGTTCTGTCCTTGGGACTCTCCTGTAGCTGTTGTCCTCTGCAGTCATCTGTTGGCAGATGCATTCAACACAGTGAATCCCTGGGTCAGGAATGTGCTTTTGAAAAGAAGCTCCCGGTGGTCCTGTGCTCACTGTGCGGGGTTGGTATTGTCCAGCAGCCTTGGAGCACACAGCAAATGCTGCATCTTTTCTGCAGCACCCCAGGGCTTCACCTAACACTCTCCAGCTGCTCACGGGTGTTCAGCTCACAGGATCAGACCAGAGCTAGCCCAAAATAAAATCCCCCAACTTGTGCTGTGCTCTGTCAAATCACTCCTGCTGAGCTACGCAGCTGATGAGATAAACTTAGCTTTTGTTAAACAAGCTCTTCCTGCAGTGTGATTTTTCTTTTTAATCTGTTTTGTATGCAAGAAATAACTTCAGCATCAGCTCCAAGTAGGCACTGAAAAATACCAATTTGCAGTGCTCATCTATTGAAGATCTTTTTTGATCACACAAAGGATGCACGTGGAAAAGACGAGGCCAACTATTGAGTGTGCTCCTGTGATGTTCAGTCTAGCAAATAGCATTGGGAACTGATTCTTGACCTGCTAAAACTGGATTGTTTGGCAAGAAAACATAGCAGACATGGCTTCATGCAGGCATTATTGCTGGCTAAGCCTCATGTTTTCTTCACAAATTCTGAAATACCACAAAGAATGATTTAAGATCAGTCTGCACAATGATTTGCAAATGCATTAGTCCCATATCCCTTATTCAGTAGTTAAACGTGTATAAATATATATATAAAACCTGGCATAGAATTTCTACTGCTATTGCACAACAGCTTGCATCTGAAAGGTCATTGTGCTTAAGTGCCAATGGAGAATTAGCATATCTGTAAAAAAAAAAAAAAAAGGAGGGTGTGTGTGTGTGACAGAAAAATACATAAAAAGCCAAATTCTTGGAATACATCTACTAGATGTAATGTTCTATGTAAGGGCAGTCCTATATCTGGAGTTCACCCTCAGCAAACATTTTAGATATAGACACTGCCTGGTGAGCAGGAAATTCTTCTGCCCTTCCAGTTTTAGTACCATCAATGGAGAGCTCAGCCTGGTAGA